TCCTAAAATTCTGAACAGATGGCGCTTGATTCTAAATATTACCAGTTGCGAATATGCAACACCGCCCTATTTAACGGGCTAGTAGGTTAAGTATTTTTCTGTAGATGGCGTTAATGTGCACTCGATCTGCAATTACGCATAAACATATATAATAGACTACGCGGTCTTATGGTAGGGATGAAGTCGGTACATTGGTCGGCACTAGAAAGAGAGGACAGTAACTGGAGTAACTTTCTTCTCTTTCTAATGGAGCTGTTGGTGGGGGATTCTCCTACGGCTGTGTGAACCAGTGATGCCAGGACGTAGGATTTTTCCCACGCATGCGCATTACCTAATCCTCAGTAACGTATATACTTCACTCAAATATGGGGTATCGTTAGACCCCCGTGACAATTGAAATACGGTAGAAATTACAGGAAGAGGACATTTTTAAAAGAAATAACATATTTACATGGAAATAAATGAATATAAATTTTTTTATTATTTTGTACATCTGCAGCCGATTTATTACATGAATACAAACATTTGTTGCGAGAGTAAGAAAAACTGCAGAAAACCTTACTAGTATTCAAACAAGAACATTATATATAAAACATATAGTCGTGCTTTCATCAATTAATATTGAAAATTTCTGAATTTTTAATTCTGTAATAAGCTTATCGCTTTCGCGTTTGCCTATTACATTTTTTATTATCTGCGTACATTTAGTTCGTGACAATTTTAGATCCTTAACCACCTGCGGATCTGAACAGGTTTCCTTTAATAAAGGGACCATGTGATTAATTGTTTGAAAAGCTATATTGTGCTCCGCGTAAAACGCAGCTAACTTTATTTCGGCTGTTTTGACTTTATTAACATGGTCCAAATCAGAATTACTATCAACTTTTGGTAATAAAACAGATGGTGTGATATCACAGCTTTTGCTTGTATTTTTAATATGTAATTGAGTCCGCGAATGTCTAATAAGTTCTGATTTTCCGCATGCCAAGACTTTATTGCAAGCCGTGCAGAAAGCTTTTTTATTATTATCAGATTTTAACCAGTCTTTGAAAATATTATTCTTTAGCCAAGATAATTGGAATACTTTCCCTTTGTTACTTCTCTTCTTATCCGCCAATCCACTCGAACTAGGCTGCTGGTAATCCATCTTCTGGTTTCTGTCACTGTAATACACTAATATTGCACTACAATTCAATATATTATATAACATTACGCGACTCACCTTCACTTTAACAAAAAACGCGGGAAACAATTGGGAAGGGCCCCTTACGCGTACCTACTGTTGCACATAGATACATCCATGGAAACAACCGTCGTCGAGCTGTGACGTCAGCATGCGCATGCGCACGAAGGCTCCCATGTGGGAGAAAATCCCACGTCCTGGCATCACTGGTGTGAACATGGAGATATTACATGCGTGCAGTGCAGCATGGTGCAGCATTCCTTCTCCTCATCGCCCTCCAATCGCTTTGTCCCCTCCCTCTGCAATGTGCGAGCTAGAGAGGAGTTACTCGAGCGCTACTTCTGTTCTTCGGTCTCGCTTCATCCCTACCATAAGACCGCGCAATCTATTATATATGTCTATGCAATTACGTTACTATTGCATATCACTGGATAAGGAACACCTCCTATTTCGGTTTATACTTAGTTTGTAAATTGTCCGAAGTGGGATGGACACTATTTTGGTGGACACTATTATCGGTGGTGTATATCGTGTATACTAGTGTCACGTGGTCAGACGTTTGCGGCGCACACTCAGAGGGGGGCTGCTGGCGCCCTGGCGGCGGTCTTTCAGGTCGGCCATATTTTCTCTCGTGGGCCTCAGTCAAGAAGCTGGTGATTCCTTGATAATCCCTGGGGATGCGAGCTGTGAGCGGTGTTACCGCGCGTTCTCTATCTGTGAATCAGTGATCGCTGTTCGATCATGGCTAAAGGAACTAAAAATTTGAGTGGGAGACGGTCATCGTCGCGGAATGCGAGGCCCTACGACGCAAACAATGTGAGTAGTCTACTCTTGGCACGAGCCCCTCGCGACGGTGACAAACCTAATCCGAGGCCAACGGTTCTTCCCGCCTTGAAGCTCGAACTAGAAACCCTGACGAATTAAAACCGTTTATCACACCCGATTGGGACCGATTCCCATGGGACGCATGTCCTCCTGAGTTGTAGCCTCGTTAGACCTACACAATGTCACGGTTATGTGAGTTCTCTCATTAACCTCAACCCTTTCCAAACTCTAATCCTCTATTCAGATATAATTATAGGTAATGTTGTAGCGAGTCAGTGATCTTTATGGAGCCAGCAGCATATAATTCTATCATAGGTCTGATTTGGCTAGGGTCTTCTAGTCAAAGAGTTTCTTCGAAGGTTTAAGAATTTGATAAATGATATAGAAGGGAAATTATGAGAGGACTTTCCACATTAGCCAAAACCCCACCTTTTAATTTCTTTTTAATATCTCCTAAAGTGAACTCGTACATAATTTATATAAATGTGTGACAAATATATTAGCGTAGTCAATGAATTCATGTGAGATCTTTATGTAAATGATTCATGTTGCTCATATATGTATTTAGCAGAGGATTTGAAAGGCTAACTAATGGAAGATGTTCTATAGTGAACAATTTCTATGTCTTTTGATAATTTTTTATTGTTAAGTATTTAAGTTGTAAAGCATAGATATAGAAATATAGACTGCGCATCAGGCTGAGTCAGCGTCCCAACTTTAGAAAGAGATGGGTTATTTTCATAGGACTTACTATCTCTTTCTAATATAGCTAAGTCAATCGTTCAAAACACAGAGTCCCAAAACCTCATCCCCTACTACTTAGATTTAAAAAGAGATGCTAAACCTCCAAAAGCTATCTATCTCTTTCTAAACTCGGGATGCCTGTTTCAGGGAGATGCACAGTCCATATATCTATGTTTATGGTCTAAAGTAACCTATCTATATAACAAATGAATTTACATAAATTTTTACTGAAATACAATTGACATTGCTTGTATTTTTGTTTGGGTGATTGTAGGTTTATGCTTTTGACGAAAGTAAAATTTATGAACATTTTCTAATGGATTCAACAAATGCTATTTTTATCATTAATGCTCTGGAACATTTAAGTTTATAAGGAGTTTAATTTTTAAACACTTAGTATGTGTTGCAGAGGTGACCCTGATACGCTAAGACATATTAATTCAAATATAATTAAAAGGAGGACAGTTAGTTTTTTTAGTGTAATATTAGGCAACATATCTACTATTATGATACCATCTATTATCTGGTAGACCCAACTACATGACCCTGGTATATTTAATGCCTCGCTATGTTGTTACTTCCAAGTATACCTATTGAATCACTTATAATGTCTGACTTCAAAACATGATTTCCTTTTCATTATGGAAGTCTATAATTGACCTGATTAGTTTTATGTACCAGACCTGGTGCTGTCAAATACCCTGGAAAGCTTTTAATTAGCTGCTAATATTTTACTGTTGTAAAAATTGAGTTCAAAAAGGTATTTCTATGCAAAACTTCAAAACAATCTATTGTTTTGATATTTTGAAATATTTTGTTGAAATTTGTAGTAATAATGAAGATATAGATGTTTTGTTTTGAGGTTTACTCTAAATTTCTTTGTTTTCAGTCATTTGTAAAAAAGGTGGCAACAAAGGTAACAGATCTTATACCGCAAAGGTCATGGATCAGTAAATGGTTCAATTCCTCCCAAAATGAAGGAGATGTATTAGTCGATACTGAGAACCCTGAACAGGTAGAATCTGAAGAAGACATCCAAAAGCCTCCACCTTCAAAACGACCATGTATTCGTATGGATGTCACTTATCCATCTGGTACATTCGTAATCCAACCAAGAGCTAAAGCTCCATTGAACAAAACCAGTCCATCTAAACTACAATATTCAATCCATAATGAGACGGTAAATATAATTTCTTTTTGGAGCTATTGAGGAGCTTTGGTAACTATTGAAAACTGGTTCATTCCATAAATTAAATTACTTATTTCAGTCTGAGGATTTCTCTGTACCTGTGATGGCTGGGCCAAGTGGGACAAATTTAATATCGTCCACACCTGCAATACAAACAGATATTAGAAATATAACACCTCAGAGAGCTGACTTGAATTCATTGGTCGTTGCAACAAATAATGGAGCTACAAATGGCACAGATGACAATTCTGAGTCTAGCGAAAGTACTAGTGGTTGCAGCTCTCTTATTCCACAAACAAACAGACAGGAGGCCCCTTCAAATGTCTCCTACAATTCTCCATTTTCTAACAAAAAGAGATTTATCAATGAAAAATTAACGTTTAGTAAGATTCCTTTATTTGTTGAAACTTATTTTAATCTGCTTTTAACATTTCTTCTTTTCTTCTTTCCAGCCAATCATACACAGTCTCCAAGGTCTTTATTCCTAGATAGCAATAGGGACACGCTAAGCAGTCGTAGACCAAGTTTTAACGCGTCGATGATGACAAACACACCAGATCATGTATCGCCGTTGTCATCACCTTTCTATAGTGGAAATATTACTTTTGGTGGAGCGAATGCAGCCGATCTGTACAAACGTGGTCGCTGTTTATTTAACAGCTCAAACGAGGTAGATTGTATTGAATATTATTAGTCTAGACTGCGGATGTTTATGCAAAATAACATTTTCTAACGTAATTTATAAAGACGAGCAAACGTAGAAATTTATTTTTCCCCCTAAGTATCTTATTGGGTTCAAACTAAAATAGAAAAATCATTGGATCCAATGAAATTTATGTCTTTTATTGAACTTTTATAAAATCCGCAGTCTAATTATTACCATCCACATCTTACTATCACGAACTGTATTGATTTGACTTTTATAGATTCAACTTAAGGTTCCAAGAAGAACAAGAGTTGAAGTAAAACCATTAAATATATCTGGGATTGATTCATCTGGCATGAGTCAAACAGCAAAAAAAATATTAGAGGCATTGGAACATTTTTCGTCGCCGGTAACGGACGCTAAAAAGATTCCATTAAAAATGTTGAATAACACGTCGATGTATAAAAAAAGAGCTAGGGAGGAAATATTGCCAACCAAAGTTGGACTGCGTCATTTGACGCGCGAATTAACTGTGCCGACTATTCCCGATATATTAAAGTTGAGAAGGCGTCAGAAACTGCAGGACACTACGCTTGTGGCTAGGAAAATTGTCTCAGCTCGCAGTGAGCCACCACCTCCACAAGAATACCATATTAGGTATAAATTTCAACTCTGCGTTAAATAAAGAAGTTCTTGTCTATAATTGTCCGTGACTTATACGTGTGTAAACTTTCTTTTTCAGGACGCAAGGTGATGAAGACTCAAAGCATCTGGGGAAGATCAAGACTACAGCGACGAATTTCGAACAAGAAGAGGCAATTCAACCAGTCAATCTACCATGTATACCTTTGCCGATAACGTCTTTACCTAATTTTAATTTCATGCCAGTTGTTAACTTAAAGTCGTCGGACAAAACTCCTATGGAAGAAACATTTACCTTTGCGAGTCCTATAAAAGTAACGAATGTTACAAATACCTTGAAGTCTATCAACAACTTTACATTTAGTAGTCCGCTTAATGCTGACAAACAGTCAATTGACAGATCTAGTAACTCAAGTTCGCCTTTAAAAAGAAGTGGTAAGGCTGTTGTGTCATCTACCAATTGTATAGCTTCTGTGACACAAAATTTCGTCTGGTATGGTTCGTCTACGGCACCCAGACCGAAAGAGAACATTAAAAAGGCAGATAATATTGTTCCTGCTACTTCAAAAGACTTAAAATCAGGAAGCGTGATGGATATCCTCAGTTCTAAATCAGCGAAAATTGAGCCTCAAAAGTCAAGTAATACGAAGGTACAAGATTCCACTGATAACAAAGAAAAGACAATTACCTCAGGCACAAGTAAAGATTTAGTTAAAACTGTGAACTTAAAATCTGGTCTATTACAAGATACTTCATCTATGTGGGAATGTTCCGAGTGTTTAATCAAGAACAGTAACTCTGAAACCCAGTGCTTTGCTTGTAAAACTGCCAAACCGAATCCGAAAGACAATAAAATATGTGAATTGCCATCAACACTCTCAAATGCTAATGATTCGAATCCAGGCAATAACAAGTTTGGATCCGAGTTTAAACTTTCTAGTGATCAGTGGGAATGTTCGTCGTGTTATTTAAGAAATAAGCAAACTGATGATAAATGTGTTGCTTGCAATGCACTCAAACTAAACTCTATACACAAAGCTAACTCAAACATAGCAAAATTATCAAACTCTGACATAAATAATGTCGTTGACAGTGTACAAGGACCTGGAGAATGTTCCAAGTGTATACTAAAAATTATTGGAAGTTCAATCGTGTGCTCTTGTAGCGCATCTAAATCAAGTCCTAAAAGGAATGAAGACTCTAATGATTTGAGTACCTCAACTAATCAGAAGACATTGAATAATTTAGTTGTTAAAAATGAAATAATGGAGAAGTTTAAACCAGGTAAAGATACTTGGGAGTGTCCTTGTTGTATGGTCAGGAACGCGGCTTCTGTTGATACTTGTCCCTGTTGTAACACAACCAAGCCTAGTACTGGAGGTACAATGAAAACTGCTACACCATTGGTTCCGAATGGATTTGGAGATAAATTTAAGAAACCTGAGGGTGCGTGGAACTGTGATATCTGTATGTTACAAAATGAAGCGAAAGCTACCGAGTGTGTTGCCTGCGGAGGTTTAAAACCTGGAATAAAGAAGTCGGATAACTCATCTACAAACGTTAGTTCCAGTTTACAATTCAATTTTGGTATGCCTTCAATTACTGGCGGCTTTAATTTTGGAATAGATAAAGCTAATCAACAGAAGACAGAGAGTATAACGTCTACGAGTACCTTTAAATTTGGTGCGAGTCAACCGAGTAGCCAAGCTAGCCAATTCACGTTTGGCGTTCAGAAAGAACAGAAGATGTTGAATGAAACGTTAAAAACTGGAAACACTACTATAGAAAGTGGATTTGGATTACAAGCAAAGAATAGTGAGAAAACAAAGATTAAGCAAGTTTCAGAAAAACCAATGTCAGCGTTCTCCTTTGGTATACCAAAAACTGAGAACTTAGCAGGAAACAATAAACCTGTCACTACATCATCTTCTACAACGCTTCCAGCTACCTTCACATTCGGCGTACCGAAACCCGAAACCAAAAAATCAGATATAGAAAAGCAAAGTTCATTGTTTGGAAATACAATGACACAAGTTTCAGAGTCAACTACAGGTACTACTGAATCCACTGTCACCAGTGGTAACGCATTAATTACTTCGCCGAATAGCTCCCAAGAGATTAAACCAGCCGGTATATTCGCATTCGGTGTACCGAACTCCACGACTGCAGTTTGCAGCGTTTCTACCAGTGTAGTAACAAGTCTTCCGTCTTCTACTCAATCTTCCTTCGCGTTTCCTGAAACAAAACTAGCGCAAACGTCAATACCCACTTTCAATCAGTTAGTGACATCAACGCCTGCATCGTCATCTAATACTTTCACATTCGGAGAGAGTAAAACGGCAGAGGGTGGCTTGGCAACTAAAACTTTCGGTGCGCTACCAAACGGTTCTGGAAACTCAATATTTTCAAGTGTCTCTAGTACTCCATCGTTATTTGACAACACCGATGCGAAAACTATTCCGGCATTTGGTACAAAAGAGAACAAACAAGCTACATTTGTTGCAAATCCAAGTAAACCGTCTCCATTCGCGATACCAGAGAATAAAGTAGCAACATTCGGTAACGCGGAGAGCAAACCATCAATCTTTGGATCCTCTGATGCTAAGTTGCCTGTATTCGGGTGTACTGATACTAAAACAACATCTTTGTTCAATTCAACTCCCCAAACGCCAGCCGCAACATTCAGTGCGTCTTCAACCACGCCGTCGACCACCCTCTTTGGGTCATCAGCTACACCTATCTTTGGTAGCAGCGGTTCAACATTTGTCAGCGACGCGAAGTCCAATATGTTTGGATCTACTTCCAAACCAGACGAAACTAACACGCCAAGTTCAAATTTGTTCACGTTCAGCGCTACTCCTCAACCAGTGGCGCAATCAGGAACAGGATTCAACTTTTCTGGGAATGCCAATCCTTCGGAGGGGTCCACTCAGAAACCATTGTTCACCTTTGGTAGCGGCACGAGTACGTCACAAAGTGGCAATGTGTTTGGAAGTACGTTCAATACTCCTGCTTCAAACACTTCTGGATTCACTTTTAATGCACCTAAACCTGAAATACCAACGTTCGGTCAGTCCACTGTACCGCCGTTAATCTTTGGAGTAACTCAGGCTGCATCTCAGAATCAACACTCATCGTCATTTACACCAAGTTCAAGTACAGGATTCAATTTTGGGTCCACCGTACCTGCTACATCTTCGGGTGGCTTTAACTTTGGCGCATCAGTGAGTAAAATTGAAAGGTTGCAAAAAAGTTAATCCAACTAATTTTATTAATAACTTTTTAGACGTCCAATCCTACATCATCCACAGGATTTAACTTCAATGCTCCCAGTACTACTCCGACGTTCGATCCCAATACTCCACCATCCTACAACTTCACCGGTGGAAACGCGCCTGTGACATTCAAGTAAATAAAGCTAAATAATTCTTAATTGGAAAAGATATTAAATTTTTTATTTTTTAGTGGTACACCTCAAGCTGTAAGGAAGATCAAGAAGGCCTTCAGAAGAGTACGGTAAAGAGCGAGTAACAGGAGACGCTAATTGTGCATACACTCGGATGCTTTTTTACACCTGTGTATGTGGAGATACATTAAACAGTTACAGTACAGTGAAGAATATCACGTATACGTGGTGGTATACCAGGCACTTTGTGTAATATATGAGTCTACTGATGGTAATATGCTTGCGTACAGCCACTTGTGTTCCACAGGATCTGTAAATTATAAATTATTTAAATTATACAATAATAACGGTTGATAATTGACGCTGGCATAAAGCCACTTTTACCAATAGGACGGATCGTGATGAGATCCCATTACTTTGCCCAAATCAGACCTTGAATATATACTGACATGGAAAAAGAAGCTTACACGTTCAAACAGAAGATAAGCACTGAGTGTGTGCAGTTCATTGAAGACGATGAGTGGGAGTGCACCTTCGGGTAAGTATAAGTCGTTCACAACTCGTGACAACATTTTTATGACTGAACAAATGGTGAAATTATATTCTTTTTTTTGTTGATATTATAAAAAATATTCTTGGATTTACAAGGCTGTAGTTACGGTCGCTGAAATTCTCACTAATTTCACTTACTAATTTAACTATGTCTCTCCACACTTACATCAAAATCACTATCCACTATACTGCTTTGTAATATGTAAAAATATGTATTTTGTAAAGATGAATTTAAGTAATTTCGAAGTCCGTGGTTGAAGATAACTGCAAGTTACACATGAAAGTATTCGAACTGGTCCTTTGTTAGTATAATTAAAAAAAATTTAAGGGGTCTGCATATATCAATTTTGGAGAGGTACGTCATGAAATGACCAAATAAGCGGTTTATATTATGGTTCTGTTGTTTATATGAACAGAACAGTAATATAAATAATTTGTTACGGAGGTCCGTATCTTTTACAGACTTCTGCAGCATATAAAAAATGTTTATGGTCTTTTTTATTAAAAAAGTTTTAATATGGAAAAAATTACGAACTGAGACTTGAGACATGTTTTTATAATCTATACCTACGGTACATACTAATAAATTAAAATGACGATTCATGAAAATACAGATGAGCCTCCCAGAAGTTAGACTGATTAACTCCGTGAAATAAAAAAAAAAAACACAATCGAATCATTGCAGAGATTTCAGATTTAAATGTAATTTCATATAAAATATAAAGTACAAAACAGTAAATATATTGAAAATTGATGTGAACTGAGAAACTCATGGAAGGTAGTATTCGAAAAGCTGAAATATCGACTTTATAATGAACTTTATCACTTTGATCTATTATTGCCGAACAAATATAATAAAATTTCGTGCTAGTGGGAGTAAATTATTTTACTGAGATACCATAAAACATGTCTCATGTTTCAGCTCATAACAGTTTAAATACAGAATTTCTTAATACGAAAATTTCCAAATATTCCTTAAATTAATAAAGCATTCACATATTTGTACATATGTATAAGCAAGGTAACAAATCAAAATAGTTTTTAGTTTCTTTAAGAAGGAATCACCAATGCATCATCTCCCAAAAAAAAAAAGAATAGATTCTCCACAAATTTTGATATGTCACGGGTATTGTGAATCGACTGAATAATCAACGGAATCCCACTTCATATAGGCGTTAATTATAGTTTAATTAGGATTTCGCGAACAGTTCTACAAAATCCTTGTAGCTCTGGCTCTGAACAGAAACAGTGTATCATACACGAAAATGGCATTCGGCATAGTACAAACTGACGATTACCGAAACGATTCGCGTCGGATAGTCGAAATTGTATATTTTTTTTATATATCGAATGAATTAACCCTATAAGGAGATACTGAATGCCATTTTTATAGGATTAAATTCTATTAATGTCGCGTGTTTTATTGTAGCGTGAATGCAAAGACGTATGTTGGATGGAAGATGAATTATTACGGGACTTCTAAAGAGTTACATTCTCGTTTCTTTTTCTTAATTTTGCCAGTATACTAAGCGTAGTTTTTATTTTCCTACAATAACGTATCTTGTAACCGTTATTTGGAACACAGGACGGAACTGTGAATCGAATATCGTTTTTAGAAGTCCCTAAGATCGGAAAGTAGTTAGTCGATGTGTCGATTATTGGATTACACACGTCTTATTTAAGAATTAGGATAGTTATCTGTAACGTTGGCTTGAAAAAAAATTGACAGTAGCCAAGAATAACTCGGCACAAGACCCACCTTCTGCCATAATAGATTTTTACAAGCGACTTTGTTACATATATTGTTACTCTATATGTTGTGTAATATTGTAGCCTTTAAGGAACTTTCAGTTTTTGCGTGCATTATCGTGAAACGAGGATAATAAATTAACAAGGACAGTGCAAGATCTTCGAGTTACTGGTTTAGTTGAGACTCTGAACACTGGTGGATTTCGTTATTTTATTTATAAAAATATTCCATTACAGGATCAGATACTATATAATGTTAGAGATATTCATGATTGAGATTTCAATACTACTCCGAAGTAGAATTGAGTTGAAGTAGGGAGCAAGCACCGCTGTGGCGTGAAGGTAGTGTACTGAACTACCACGCCGAGGATCCGAGTAGATTCCCCTGTACATGCACATCCTTTTTTTTCAATTTTCTTTCTGTCGTTTATCTGTACGAAATAGTAGACATGGGCAAAATCTTTATCTAAAGAAAATTTCGAATAATCCAAATTATCTTTATTCGACGAGCAACAAACAAATGAATGTATTCGATGAGAATTTATCCGACGACTGAAGATATTTTTTTATTTGAAGCACGTTTCATCCGTAGCGTAACCTTTGAATAACTTTCGGCAGCGCGTTTACTCGTGCCGCCGAACGTCGAGCGTGGAGCGTCGAATGACTTGGGTTCAACACTGAGCATTTAAAGAAACGAAACAGTGTCGTATGCTATCGCCGTGCCACGAAGGATCATTGTTTTTAAGAATTTTTTACTTATCTACTGATCTTCGCATTTGTACATGTAATGTAATTGAGATCAGTTTTTGTTCAACCACTCAAGTGGTACATATTACATATGCGTCCCAGTGGTCATGAAAGGGTTAAGAAGTATTAACACTAGAACTATCAAAGCGGTCTAAATGTCTGGTTAGTACATTCTTATTACGATGATTAAAATGTGACAACAATGCATTTTCTCGGATCTTTCATAACTTTCATTGTAATATGAAAATAAAGAAATTAGTTATTTATAAATTTGAATATTTTCAAAAGTTTGTCATGTTTATCGTTCCGATAGAAATAGATAAACATTTATTTGTCAGTAGTTCTAGTTTTAATTACGAATTAGGTGCATCTTACAGTATTCGTCGTCAGAATCTGGTATTAAGCAATCACAATCAAATTAATTTATTTATTGACTTTAAACAGTAGTCGTCCATCATTAACCATTAACTGGAATTGTTCAGTGATTTATAAAATTAATGTTTGAAGTGTCGAAATATTCTTTTTTTTTTAATAAACAATTAGCTTTGCTTTAGAAATCTGTATTTTAGTTCAATTTTCTCCTACATTATTCCATATAATATTGGAAATTAAGTTAATTCTGAATTTCAGTTTTTTACAATATAAATTTACAAAATACATTGTTTCATTTCTTTAAATGCCAAGGTGTTGAGCCCAAGTCGTTCGGCGTTCAGTGGCTCGAATAAACGCGCTGGTAATAAATATAAAGATAAAAATGAAAATCTTATTCGACAGTACGGATGAAACGTTCTCCGAATAAAAAATATCTTTATTCGTAAGATGAATATACAGCGAATAAATTCATTTATTTGTTGCTCGTCGAATAAAGATAATTTGGATTATTCGAAACTTCGAATAACGAATAAAGATAAAGTATAGTTTATTCGAATTATTATTTAAATAATTTTTTATCTAGATAGTGCCCAACTCTACAAAATACAGTGGACTCTAAGTATATTGCCATGGTCGGAGCTGTAGGGGAATAAAATGGCAATGAGTTCAGTGCCCCCTCCATGCTAAGTTTTATCGTCATAGCATCGGCCTCAGTGCCTGCGAAAAAGCTAGATCGTGCTGGTGCGCCGGCGTACGCAATGTGGTGGGAGAGCGAATTTGTGTGCTCGAAAGCACATGTGAAGAGGAAGTGTCTTGCGTGGCAATATAGTTAGAATCCACTGTATTTAGATTGTGCATGCAAAAATATTTGGTAAATATTAACACGTTGAGCGTGGCGTCAGCCCGTGGGGGCTGACAGTGGAGTTTTTGTTTCGGCGGTGTCGGTCCATGGGACTGGCAGAATCAAGGTTAAAAAATAAATGTTATAATTTTAATGAAGTTTATTAAAACATTCTACGCAAAGGATGTGGTTTGGTTTTACAAGTATTACAAAAAATCAGATCTTGCGGAGCAAAATTGGCTCCGCGCTCAATGTGTTAAATAAATTTAATTCCGAATGTATTTTCATGATAATGCTTTTAGTGAAATTTATTAAGGTTTTGCATTTGTTTACTGTGTATAAAAATACAATAATGGTACTCATCATAATGTATATGTAAACACAATAAGAATGCTCGAAGAAGTGAAAGTGACGGTGTACTGAAAACAATCGAATTTTCTATCAAAATGACTTATATTTACAACTAAAAAATATGTTTTTCTCTACTATGTTTGTCCTGCTTGTATGATAAGTACCATTCCCGTACATAATGATAAGTGCCATGTTTGTATTTGAGTATATACATAGTAAATAAATTTAAAACCGTAATAATAAATAAAGACATCTTTATGAAATATACATGTAATCAAATTTATTTAATATTTGCGCACGTTTTATTGCGTAAAATCTAAGTTTTATACAGATAAATGAAAAATAAATGGAAAAAGAAACTGTGTATGTAGAGAATAGAGCATAGACCCTCAGCGTGGTAGTTCAGTAAGCTATCTTCACGCCATAGCCGTGCTTGTTCCCTACTTCAACTCAATTGCACAGTACTTCTTAACATCTATGTATAAGTATCTGACCTTGTAATGGGGTGGGCTATTTTCGTATACAGAATGACGAAATCTACCAATGTTCGGAGTCTCAACTGAACCAGTACCTCGAAGGTTTTGTACTCTCGTTGTAAATAGAGACACGTTGATAATTCGCACCCTTCGTAGTCCGTTACCAAACAATATACTACATACCAGTAGTTACGCGACTCACTTGAAAAGTATACTTCTTTGTGTAAAGTTAGCATATAAAGCATAAGACGATCCTATACGCAAGGTTCAATATTAGGTTGATCCAAAAGTTCTTTGAAAATTATTTGAACGATGTTTTTAAATTTTATCTTAACGGAAAACGTAACGTTTGTTTCTTATTAAATCATGGATTTCATGCATTTATGACAGATGTAACTTTGTAAACCGTATTAAAATAAAAACTTCTCAATATAGCGTAAAAGAAAATTTGGTTCTTTCTTTGCCTTATAAAACCATTCTTTGAGGTAATAAATTACTATAGAAGTCCCTCTTCACGAGTGAATCCAGAAGAATCTAAATTCATATGAACACCCATAGTCTACATGTTGCAATAATTATTATTATTGTTCTGTTACTTATTATCATTGTAGAATATTC